CCCCGGAGCCTGGGAAGCATCCTGGAGTGGGCGAGATGCCCACTTTCCCCCGTGGCCCGGCGGCGCGGCTTTCCCCCTCCCACGGGCGGAGGTGGGGCCGTCGGGCGCCTCGCCCCCGGCTCAGCCCAGAGGCCGGACCGCTGCGGGATTTAAACCCGGCGTGGGGACCCCCGTCCCGGGGATCGAACCGACGATGCAGCACAACGTGGCCGCCTCTCCCCGGCCGGGACTGTCCCGCGTGGGCGAGACGGGCGGCGCCCGGGGGTCTCCGTCCGCGGGACCCCCTATCTACACCCCGGAGCCCTGCCTGGGTACCAAGCCCCCCTACAGCTACATCGCCCTGATCGCCTTGGCCATCCAGAGCAGCCCCGAGCGGCGGCTCACCCTGAGCGGCATCTACCGCTTCATCACCGGCCGCTTCGCCTACTACCGAGACAATAAGCAGGGCTGGCAGAATTCCATCCGCCACAACCTCTCGCTGAACGACTGCTTCGTCAAAGTCTCCCGGGACGACCGCAAAGTCTCCCCTGGCAAGGGCAACTTCTGGACCCTCCACCCGGAGTGCCACGACATGTTCGAGCACGGATCCTTCCTGCGTCGCCGGCAGCGTTTCACCCGCCAGAGGGGTCCCTCCGGGCCCCCGGGGGATGGCCAGGGGTCCAAGAAGGGGCCCCGGGGCAGCAGGGGCCAGCGAACGGGCCAGAGGTTGGCGGGAAAGACAGCCAAGAGGGAGGAGGGTCGGCCGATAGCAGCTCCCTCCGGGAGGGCGTGCCCAAATTCCAGGCAGGCCGCGGGGGTCTTGCCCTCGAATCCGTCTCCGTCTGGGCAGGAAGGTCTGGATCCAGCCCGGCCTGGCCCGGAGCCCCACAGCCCCCGGAGCCAGCCCTGTGCCAAGATCAACCCCTCGGGAGCCAAGGCACCGTGTCTCCATCTGCAGGGGGGCCCGGGCCCCAAAGCTGGGCTCTACGGCCACCCGCCGGGATTCGGTTCGGCGGGAAATCATTGCCGGGAAAAAGGGGTCCTTCTGGATGATCTTGAGGTTACCCCGCTGGTCCCCCTTGTGGAGAGGCTGCCTTCCCGATCCAGCCCGGAGATAAATGGAAGCCTGCAGAAGGGCCCCTCTCCTTGCCAGGGGACCCCAAAGCCTGGGCAGGAAGGCAAGGGGGTGCCACAGCTGATACCCAACTTCCCCGTCCTTCCGGGTCCCGGGAAAGCATCCCAGCCCAGCCACCGGCAGCATCCATCGCCCGGCGGCCTCCCCACCATGGAGGGCAACGAGGGTTACACCAAAGGGTCGGTCCTGCCCATCTTTGGCTACCCCAGCCCCGAGGCCCGGGGCGGGGGCTACCAGTGTCGTCTGCAGGCCTTGAATTTCGGCGTCAACGAACCGGGACGGGGCCCCAGCTTGGACCAGCTTCTGGCCGGGCCCCCTGCAGCCAATTCTTCGGCTCCCATCCAGCCCCCGTCCTTGGTGCCGCTGCCGGGGGAGCCGGACGCCTGGCCAGGGAACCCCTTTTGCCTCCAGGGGGGCAGCAGTTACCAGCTGGGTCTGCCCCACTGCCTCTACAGGACTTCCGGTATGTTCCTTTACGAGTGATGGGGAGGCACCGGGCCCCCATCCAGGGCCTGGAGATAGGAACTCAAATGTCCGTCTGAATCCTGGCAGAATTAATTGGGGCGGGGGGCTGCGTGAGAGCGAAGTTTCCCCCCACCACCACCCTTCTCTTTCCAGCTCTGCACTTTTACCCTGTTGGATTGATCAAACCTCCGGTTTTTCTTTGACTGGAATCAAAATCCCGCTCTTCTGCACAGACGCCGTGGCTCCGGGGACATCCGTGGGAGTGAAATTCAAGCAGAAATGCAGACGGATCAGAACAGAATAGAAGCCGGAAGGGGCCTTGGAGGTCTTCTAGTCCAGCCCCCCTGCTCGAACAGGAGAACCGACACCATCTCAAGACAAGTCACGGTCCAGTCTCTTTCTTAAAAAACCTCCAGGAGATGGAGCGCCCACGATTTCTGGTGGCGAGCAGTTCCACTGGTTGATTGTCCTCGCTGTCGGGAAGTTTCTGCTTAATTCCAGGTTGCTTCTCTCTTTGGTCAGTTTCCAACCGTTGTTTCTCGTCCTGCCCTCCGGTGCTTTGGTGAATAATGTGACCCCCTCCTCTTTTTTGAGGCAGCCCCTCAAATACTGGAACGCTGCTATCCTGTCTCCCCTATTTCTTCTTTTCTTCAGACCAGCCAAACCCAAGTCCTGCAGCCGTTCTTCGTATATTTTAGTCTTCAGGACCGACTGGGGCCGAATCCTGCCCTGCCTCTGATTCCAGGTTTAATCATAGCATTGCAACCTAGCCAGCATCTTGCAATACAGATACAAAACGGGGGGGGGGGGGGGACATGGAGGGGGTATTTGAGCCCTTGGTGCGGCCTTCGGCAGAAAGAACTGCCAAGCAAACATTAAAACGCAAGCCAGAAAAAAGGATTTTTTGGTCTTTGGGGTGATTTTTCTCTCTTCTCCTCCCCCCCCTTTTTTTTTTCTTTTAGGGGGAATTAAAAAGAGGGAAATATCCCAGGGTTGTTGAGGAAGGGGCATTCTGCGTAGGGACAGAGGTAATTTTGTCTCAGATCATTTGGTGGCCCGGGTTTATTTTGGGGCTGGCTGTTTTGGGAGGAATGAGGTCATGGGAACGGGCAACGGCTCTCCCCGGAGATTGGGGTGGGGGCCTAAAACGCTTGGCCGGCTCGTGGAGGGATTAATGCTCTCATGCTGTAGTTTGTGTGGTTGTGTTAAAGTAAGGAGGAAGGAGGTGACAAACTTGTGTCAGTGGGAGCAGGAGCCTACATTTCCCCTGCTTTCGTACTACAGGTAATCCTCGGCTTACGTCCAAAATGGGCACCAGAATTCCCATTGCTAAAAAGGGTGGTTCTTAAGTGAAACGGGGCTGATTTTGCAATCTTTTTGCCACCGTTGTTCAGCCTGAGCAGGGGGTTGGGCTAGAAGACCTCCAAGGTCCCTTCTATTCTATTCTATTCTATTCTATTCTATTATTCTATACTCTTTTCTATTTCTATATTCTATTCTATTCTATTGTATTCTATATTTCTCTTCTATTTTCTCTTCTATTTTCTATTCTATTCTATTTCTATTCTAAATCTGTTCTGTTCTATTCTATTCTATTCTTTATTTCCTCTTCTCTTCTATTCTACAATCTGTTAATTCTATTCCATTCCATTCCATTCCATTCCATTCTATTCTATTCTATTATTCTATATTCTTTTCTATTTCTATATTCTATTCTATTCTATTGTATTCTATATTTCTCTTCTATTTTCTATTCTATTTTCTATTCTATTCTATTCTATTTCTATTCTATATTCTATTCTAAATCTGTTCTGTTCTATTCTTTATTTCCTCTTCTCTTCTATTCTACAATCTGTTAATTCTATTCTATTCTATTCTATTCTATTCTATTCTATTCTATTCTATTATTCTATATTCTTTTCTATTTCTATATTCTATTCTATTCTAAATCTGTTCTATCCTATCCTATCCTATCCTATCCTATTCTATATACTTTTTTATTTCTATATTCTATTCCTATTATATTTTATATTTCTATTCTATTCTATTCTATTCTATTCTATTCTATTCTATTCTATTCTATTCATCACTGTAGTTAAGTGAACCGTGCGGTCATTAAATGAATCCAGCTTTCTCCACTGACTTTGTCTGTTGGAAGCCAGCTGGGAAGATCACCAATGGCCATCACACAACCCTGGCTTGCTGCGGCCGTCGTAAATCCATGCCCATTTCCAAGTGCCCCAATTTTGATCACGTGGCTGTAGTGATGCTGAAGATGGTCGTAAGTGTGAGGACCGGGCACTAAGTCCCTTTTTCTAGCACTGTCGTAACTTTGAACCATTGCTAAGCAAATCATTGTAACTTGAGGACTATCTGCATAAGAAACGACTAAACAACGGAAAGCCCGAAGTCATCCGTTTACAGGGCAAATTGGTGGTGTTTGTACACAAAGGAGTTGTAGAAGTAACGCGTAGTCCCGAGCCCAACATTTCTGTCGCTAAGTGAGACGTTTGTTGAGCGCGTTTTGCCCCGTTTTACGACTTTCCTTGCCACAGTTGTTAAGCGGAACAGAGGCAGTTTTTAGGTTAGTAAGGAAGCAACACTTTCAGAAGAAGCAACTCAATTTCATTTTTAATGCGTGCCGTTGTGCCCGCAGGAAAAAACGACAATAAAGGTTATCTAATCTAAGATGGTTGTTACGTGAGCGCAGCTTCCCCCCGGGGTTTTGCTTGCGGGAAGGTCGCAAAAGGGGATCACGTGACCCTGGGACACAGCAACCGTCGTAAATAGGAGTCAGTTACACAGCCTCTGAGTTTTGATCATGTGACCCTATGGCAGTGATGGCGAACCTTTTAGAGACCGAGTGCCCAAACTGCAACCCAAACCCCACTTATGCATCGTCGGGTGCCGGGTGGGCGTAACCCATTGGCTGGGTGTGGCCCGTTGGGTGGGCGTGGCCCGTTGGGTAGGCGTGGCTGTGGTGCTAACGGCAGACTGGGTGGGACTAAAAAGTTCAATCAATCAATTCCAACTTTGCAAGATCTTTTTTTTTCCCCCGCGAGAAGTTGAAATTGACTGATTGATTGAACCTTTTTTTTTTTTTGCACATGGCGGCGGAGGCCTAAAGCGAAAAGGTTTTATAAAACCCAGCTGAAGGCCTAGGACTGGGGCGACGGCGCGCGTGCCCACAGAGAGGGCTCTGAGTGCCGCCTCTGGCACCCGTGCCATAGGTTCGCCACCACTGCCCTATGGGGAGGCCGCAAGTGGTCGTTAAGTAAAAAACCTGATCACTTTTTTCAATGTGGTTGTAACTTTGAACTGCCGCTAAATGAACTAGTGTAAGCCGAGGAATCGGTTTGAACTTTATTTCCACCGGTTTAACCAGTTGTGTAAGCACAGCTGACCGAGCCGGTGTAAGAGTCCGTGCCAATCCAGCAAAGGATTTAATGCAATTATCAGGTTAATCACGTGCGAACACAGCGAAGGAAGATATTAATATTAATAATAACAATAACAAAAATAATAATAAAGATAAAGTTGGAAGGGACCTTGGAGGTCATCTAGTCCAACCCACTGCTCAGGCAGGAAACCCTATATCAGGTTAATCACGTTGTGCGAACACAGCGAAGGAAGACAATAATAATAATAATAATAATAATAATAATAATAATAATAATAATAATAATAATAATGATGATGATGATGATGATGATGATGATGATGATGATGATGATAATGATGATGATGGAAGGGACCTTGGAGGTCATCTAGTCCAACCCCCTGCTCAGGCAGAAAACCCTATACCATTTTGGACAAATGGCTGTCCAGTCTCTTCTTAAAAACTTCCAGTGTGGGAGCATTCACAGCTTCTGGAGGCAGGTTGTTCCACTGGTTAATTGTCCTCACTGTCAGGAAGTTTCTCCTTAGTTCCAGGTTGCTTCTCTCCTTGGTTAGTTTCGATCCGGGAAGGAGATTTTTAGCTTTGCTGCAGAATGTGCTAGAAAAAAAAAATGAGGCGCAGGTAAAGTCCTCGACTTACGGCATTCCTTTAGTGAACATTTGAGGCAATAACAGCGCTGAAAAAAGTGACTGATCATTTTTCACACCAACGGCCCTTGCAGCATCCCCAAGGTCATGGGATCAAAATTCAGCCGCTTGGCCACTGACTCGTATTTACGACGGTCGCGGTGTCCCCGGAGTCACGTGATCCCCGTTTTGTGACCTTTTGACAAACGAAATCCATGGGGAAATAATAACAACAACAACAACAACAACAATAATAATAATAATAATAAGTAGTAGTAGTAGTAGTCATAGAAAATGATAAAATTAAACTGCTCTGGACTTCAGAATCCAAACAGACAAGCACCTGCAACATAATACCCCGGACTTAACAATTGTGGATAAGAAAGACAAAAAAAGTCTGGATAGTGGATGTGGCAGTGCCTGGAGACAGCAGAATAGACGAGAAAGAACTGGAGAAGATCACAAAATAAAAAGACCTACAAATAGAAATAGAAAGACTGTGGCAAAGGCAAGCAAGGGTAGTACCAATAGTAATGGGCGCCTTGGGTGCAATCCCGAAACAACTGGAGCACCACTTGGACACCATCATCGGCATTGACAGATTTGCCATTAGTCAATTGCAAAAGGCGGCCTTACTAGGAACTGCTTCCATCCTGCGACAAGATCTGTGATACCGTCAAACATCCACATCTGCCTATCCCAGGTCCTGGGAAAGGACTCGATAGGTAGACAAAATGCCAAATCCAATCTGAACATCTGGCTGACTGTGTGATGATCCATAATAATAATAATGTTGGAAGGGACCTTGGAGGTCTTCTAGTCCAACCCCCTGCTCAGACAGGGTACCCTATACCATTTCAGACAAATAGTTGTCCAGTCTCTTCTTGAAAACATCTAGTGTTGGAACATTCACAACTTCTGGAGGCAGGTTGTTCCACTGGTTCATTGTTCTCACTGTCAGGAAGTTTCTCCTTAGTTCTAGGTTGCTTCTC